GGTGGGGGAGGTGGTGAACACCGAGCCCTGGGGATTCTGGGTCGGGGGAACAGTGACGTGAAGATCATGTTCTTCAGCCCCCAGCCTTCTTCTGGGACAACCACCTCTACTCTCTGCAAGGGTGACAGAACTAGCCTCTCCCCTTGTTTTCCAGCACCTGCCTGGCCACCTCCTGCCCCAGCCCAGGGTCCCACCCCCGCCCGCACCTTGAAGAAGGTAGAGCGATGGAAAGCCTCTGTCCCCCAGGGCCTTCCAGAGGCTGTTTGGCTTTAAGGAGAGGACAGTGCAACTCTGGTCTCCCTACTGCCATCCCCAGGGAGACCCCGCCCTTGGTCACCCTCTGCCAAGAGAACAGACGACGTAGGCCCCCTGTTCCAGCGCAGATGAAGTCTCGCGGCAGGCCCGGGCTAGCAGGTCGCCCGCGTTGTCCTCCTCTCCCACTTTTAACGAATCCCTTCTCCAGGAAGCTGATCCTCCTCTGACCCTTCCATCCCTACCCGACCTCAACCTTGAGGTTGCTGTTCTACCCCCACGGCTCATCAGCGGATCCCACATCGGTCCGCACCTGGTGATCGAGGTGCCACGTGATTCTCCCAAGCCACGACTCCAGCCCTACGTGGCTTCCTCCAGGACCAACTGCATGTTCCCTTGGCATGTCAAGAGCGGAGTCCCTTTATTTGGTGCTGCCAGTCCCTATGGCACAGTGATCTTTGTGGGCGACACAGCATTAAACTCTCTTGCATTTACAGCGTTATGTGGTTCTTCCGGAGGGGCGGGGGGCGTGCAGGGTGAGTCGGCAAGCGGGGAGAAGGATGTCCTTGGGGTGGACTGGGCCGGGCCTGGAGCTCTCTGGGAGTCGAGACGGTCGGCGTTCTCTGCCCGTCACCTTCTTGTTGCTGGAGCGAGGGTGAAGGCTGGTGCCCACTTCCTGGAGGCATTCGTGTGAAATCACCGGCTTGGTGTTGATAAAAATCACGGTGACTGTTTATGAAGCACTTAACATGCGTTTGGCATGCTAGTTCACGGTGACTGGTCTGAGGCAACGCAGCTGAGGCTCCTTTTGACTCAACCACCACCTCCACTGAGCTGGATCTGCGTTCAGATGCTGAAGCGGAGAAGCCCCCGGTCGGATCCACTCACAGCCTTTGCGAAATAAGAAGCTTCCTCCCTGTGTCCGTAGCCTGATCATAAATCAGTGGGTGCTGCCCACGGGTGTTCAGTTTGGTTTAACCAATATTTATAAAAACGTGAGCCAAACTGTACATACAAGTCTGGAAGCCCCACAAGTTTGGATTTCTGGCGTGTCTCGAGAGATTTAGAAGGTCTGGCAACCGTGGGCCCCCATTACCACACGGCGACATTTGTCCGGAGCTGATCGGCAGCTGTCCCCTTGGCCCTCCAGCTGCCACGGTACCCGGAACTCCCTGTTACCCCAACGCTGGAAGTCGGTTGCCTTTTATCACAGTTGCCGTGTTTCTTTTATACCGGATCCAGTTCACTCATTAAGTTGTGTGTTCCAGGAAGACTTCGGGGCGTGTGGCACCTGGATCAGACCAGCGTTAGCTCACACGGTCTTCTTTGACTCTTCCTGGCTGCCGTGAAGCACGGTCAGGGGCGACTGGGCCCTCTCAAGAGTTAGCACCCACTGCAGAGTTCCTGGCCCCATCTTGTCTTTCCACGGATGTGCTGAAGGCGGGGGCGTGGGTCAGACTTTCAGATCTGGACCTCTCAACTGGCTGCTTCTCAAAGGGTGCGAAGCCTGACCCAGCAGCCAGGCACAAGGCTTCAGGGTTCAGTAGGCAGCCCGTCTTGGGGGCCCCCGGCCGGCCCGTTGGTAGCCTCGGAGGGGGCTGTGTCCCCAGCCATGAAAAAAGTCTCTTTAGTGTGACACCTGTTGACCTTCACAGAGAGGGATGGAGTGTGAGTCAGCTCAATCTTATCCTCCTCCGTCGCCGTGACCCATGGGCAGCAACGGAAAGCAAGCCGGAATCCAGAGCGAAACCTGAGAGACAGAGGGTCACGTGGAGCAGAGGGGTGAGGGGACAGTTACAGGAACTGCCCTGCGGCTGTCCCCCGCGGGAATTTTGTGCTCTCCTAATTGCCCATCATGGTTCACTGTCTCTTGGGAGACACACTCCTCAGCGGATTTGATTTTTGGAAACATCCAGAAGTAATCTGGAGCTAAGTCTAGTGACCGAAGTGGGTGACGAAGCCAAATCAGACCATTTGTTATTACAGACAAAAAAAAAAAAAAACCAGATACGATTTAAAGAAACAACAGAGTTTTTTTGTTTGATTTGTTAATTGGCCCCTAAAGGAGTTTTCTAGAGGAGCCTTAAGAAATCTGGGCTTTGGCAGTGTTGAGTGAAGTAAAGACGCTCTCCCAAGGGGGCTGCTTTGAAAGAAAATCCCAGTTTGGGTATATTTGCTTAAAAAAGAATTCTCCCCATGACCACACTAAAATCTAAATTAGAAGGGGAAGCAGACAGGGGCGCCTGGGTGGCGCAGTCGGTTAAGCGTCCGACTTCAGCCAGGTCACGATCTCGCGGTCCGTGAGTTCGAGCCCCGCGTCGGGCTCTGGGCTGACAGCTCGGAGCCCGGAGCCTGCTTCCGATTCTGTGTCTCCCTCTCTCTCTGCCCCTCCCCGGCTCGTGCTCTGTCTCTATATCACTCAAAAATAATAAAAACATAAAAAAAAAGAAAAAGAAGGGGGAGCAGACAATGGAGGAAATGGGCTGGCAGGACGGCCCAGGAGACACAGGGTTCCATGTTCCAGAAGAGCAGGCCTGACTTTGGTTCCTCACCTTGTAGCTCTATAAGATTCCATGGGGCGGCGGGCCCAATAAATGTCTCTATTGTGGGAGCTTCTCGGCCTCTGCCCCTTCCGCCCACACCCAGCATGTCCCACCCGGGGCTCCCCCTCCTCCCCTCCCACCCCTGCCCCCGTGGCCATCCTTCCGGCTGCTCGTGCCCAGAACCCGGAGCCGTCCGTCCTTGCCTTCTCTTACATGCCGCCTCCCCTCCATCGTTCTGTTGGCTCTACCTTAGTAACATCCAGACTCTGACTACTTGTCACCCCAGTCTGAAACCCCCATCTCTCACCTGGATCCCTGCAACAGCCTCCCCATCCCCTGCTGCTCTGCCCGCCCCGCAGCCGTCCCGTTCCAACGCGCTGCCAGGCCGATTCTTTTAAAAGGCAAGCCAGAGTACGCGTCTCTCCAACTCAGCTCCGCTGGGCTCCTCTCGGCAGAGTGGCGGCCCAAGTCCTTATCTCGACCGCAGGACCTTGCCTTGGCTGTTCCCTCCGTTCGGAGTCCTTCCCCAGACAGCAGCTCCTGCCGTCCCTTCCCCAGCTCTGGTTTTCCTCTTTCCCCTAGAACTTCCCACCTGATACACTGTGTGACTCATGGACTCATTACTCTTGCTTATTGTCTGTCTCCCCACTAGCATGTCAGCGTCTCGAGGGAAGGAATCATCTGCTTTCGCTCACCGGTGTGTCCCAGGTGCCTGGAACAGTGCGGGCACATGTGGCCACTCGTGAGCGTATTGTGAATGAACGAAGGCTGCTGCCAGGAGCGCTGGTCCCGCTCTGGAGCTAGTGTCGCCAACTACTGAAGATTCTGAGGTTACTTCAGAAATGCGTAGAGCCTGGGGAGTTGTTCAGACTCTCAGGGACTGTCACTGGGTAGCAGGGGAGTGACCAGTGCACAGACACGCGGTGCTGGGGGCACCTCCCTGATGTGACAGTCCCTGTCTCCAAGCTCTTCTATAAGCTGCCTCAAGGGAAATGTGTGGTGTGGTGTTAAGGTTACAGGCCTTGGAGATACATGCAATCCTGGCTCTGTTGCTTTGTGTATACAGTTCAGGAGTCTTCCTTTCTGAGGCTCCATTTCCTCATCTGTAAAATGCGGATAACACCTCCCTTCCTCCTATTATCTACTTTTTACCTCTCCGTGGACAGTGGAGGGTTTTGTCACCCATTAAACACTAAAAACCCAGAATTTTCTCACTTCCTTCCGGCCCGCCCCAGGCACGTGGGATATCTGAGCAACAAAGACCCTGATGGCATCACGAGTGACCTGGACACATGGGCAGCGGGTGGTAAAAGGCATGAACACAGAGGCCCAACCTTGCCCGACGTCACTGTCTGGTTGAGACCAGGCCTCCCTGTCCACCTCTCATCTCCTCTTACCTGACCCTCCCTCAGGGTTTCCTGAGCCTGACGAGCCCACTCTGCAGCAGGGCTCCTGGGTGCTGGGTTCCTACCTGGGCCACCGCCTTCCACCTCCCCTAGGGCCCCAGAGCAAACACCAGCCCCTCCGTGGGCCTCCAATTCCCCAGACGTACAGGGCTGGGAGCACCAGGTGTGTCTGAGGGAGGAGTAAGAACTTGGTGCCTTCCTCCCCGGCTGACTGCCAAGGTCACTCCTCCTGCCCCTTGAAGGCAGGCAATGCACTGTAACCTTCCCAGGGAGCAGCCTGCTCTCTCTCCAGTCCTGGCCCTGGGGCCCCGACTGAGCTCTTCCTACTGTGGGGTTGGTGCTGCTCACCTGGCCCAAGGAAAGTTCTTGGTTCTTCCTCATTGCAGAAAGCTCTTAAAAATGTCAGGGCAGAATAAGTCCCCACCTCCTTTACCCGGCTCCTTCCTCCCTCTCTGCCTTTTGGCCTCTCTCTGACCCTACTCCCTCCCTCTCTGTCCCTTCTCTCTTCTCCTCGTCCCAAATGTAGGCTCAGAAGAGAGAGCAGGAGCAGACCAACGGTAAGAACTAGGGCCTGGGCAATGGGGCGAGGCTTTGGCGAGGAGGTGGGGCTCAAGCCAGGCCCAGACCCGAGCGAGGACTGAGCGGTGGGCTCACTGCGGGGATGGCAACCTCCTGTGGGGGCGAGGGGTGCAGGCTCAAGCCGTGCAGGGATGCCCAGAGGCGACCAGGCCAGGCCGTGGGTCCCTGAGGGCCGAGGAGAGGGCCAAGGGCTCACCTGTGGTTGAGGCAGCAGTAGATGATGGGATTGTACATGGTGGAGCTCATGGCCAGCCAGAAGAGCGCCAGGTAGACCTGCTGGATGAACTTGTGGTAGTAGATGTCCTCCTGGAAGCTGCCCAGGATGAAGTAGAAGTGGTAGGGCAGCCAGCAGACGGCAAAGGTCACCACCACCAGCACCATGGTCTTCACAAACTGGGCCGGGAGAGGCTCAGGTCACTCCTCAGCCTGGAAGCCCCCTGCCCCCCCAACCCCCCAAGGGTGGCGGCAGGGCACCCCTCAGGCCAGTTTGGGAAGCCCTCGAGTCCCCTGGAGCACACGCCGCCTTGACTCCCGGGCCCTGCACCTCGGGGCTCTTGTTCAGGCCCGCCCCTCTGCCCACACTGCTGTCCTCAAGTCCTTGAGGGCCAGCTCAGTGGCCACCTCCTCTAGCAGGTGTCCCGACCCCTGACTCAGAGCAGCTCCCCTCCCTGGACAGTGGGTGAGCTCTAGCTCCTAACCCCATCCTTGGGGGCTCCCCTCTGCCAGCTAGGGGTTCCCAGGTGCCCCTCTCCCTGGGATCTGTGTCTGCCACAGCCCTTCTATCCGTAGGTAGTGAGACTCTAGTCGGGGACCCCAGCCTCTGCCCGGGGGCCTGCTCCCTGACCTTTCTCCCTTCCCGGCCTGGTCTCTGCAGGCCCTCCTGAGTGTGGGCCAGTACCCTGGGGGAGTGGAGGGCAAGTGAAGGCCAGCTCTTCATGAGGAGGGACATTCAGATGGTGTCCCATATCCCATCACCTCCCTGAATTGCCCTGTGAAAAATGCCTAGTAGCAGACATGAAACCTCAAACACATGAGATTTTGACCTGATACATGATGGGATTAACCACTACCTCCCCCTGGATGCCTAACAGGAAGGGGCCACGGCAAAGATCAGCTTTGGGAAAGACGGGAGGATCACAGACTGAATCACAGACTCCTTGGGGGGCCCTGAATGGCAGGAGGAGGGGGCACGCCGGCACTTCGGTCGGAAATGGAATGCAGACTGGATACAGCTGGACTCCAACTCCGTCTCCAAGAGCTCCGAGGTCTCCAGTTCCAACATTTGAGAATTCTCCTGTGATTCTCTACGGGAGCCTCCTGTGCTTTTGCGGGGCTTCTTATATTCAACATTACGATTTCTCGAAACGTCTGAGATTTCTGAGAATCTATTATTCTAAGATTCTTGGGAGTATCTGAAATTCCCTGGGGTTTTAGGATTCTCCGATTCTCGTGACACAGTCTGGGAAGTTCCTTTAACTTCGTATTTGGCCAAAGGCCAAAGGCAAGCTGTCCTCCCGGGAAGAACTAACTCAGGCTCTGTTCAGGGACTGGGGACCGGGCAAGTTAGGGTGGATCCTGTTCTCACCCGCACCCCTCCCCACGGGCGGGCTGCGAGCCCGGAAGGGTGAGGCCCCGAGGCGGGGCCCAGACAGGAGCTTTGAGACCTTCTGGGGGCCGGACATGGGGGGGCGGGGGAGCGGAACAGAGTGAGGGCAGAGGCACCGCCCCCCGCCGAGCACCGCCCCCGGCGCCCACCTTCTTCTTGGCCTGCAGGTGGCGCAGGCTGGCGCCGTGCGTCTGGTGCCTGGGGACCTCGCGTCTCCAGAGCGTGAGGCCGATGACACTGTAGGCGAAGAGCATCACCACGAGAGGCAGCACGTAGATGAGGGCGATCACCATGAGGTGGTACCTGGAGGGAGAGCCAAAGGCCTGGGCACGGGACGGCCCGGGGGCGACTTCGGCATCCGTCAGCGCTCAGTCCCCCCGAACCCGCGAGCGTCCCTAAACCAACTCCGGGCTAGCCACCCTGGACCCCCTCCCAAGCCTTGATTTAACTTAAAAAAATTTTTTAAAGGCAACACGGGCTAGCATTTATGCCCAAAGAGGGCTTCCCTTGCTGCAAAAGAGACACCAGCGTTTTCTCGCCTTCATCCCTCCAGGTGACAGATGAATACTACGAAAAAAGGAAATAGGAATGAAAAAGTTAACCAAATAATACATTTGTTTAACATTTAAAATGCCATTAAGCACAAAGGAGGAAGTAAAATCACTCATTGCATCCTCACCACGGTAATAATTTGGGACAATTTTCTTCCAGAATCCTGTGTATATATGACATGTGTATGTGCACCTGAATTAGATAGATTATATATATAGTCTGTATCTGCATCTGTCTGTCTGGAGACGTAGATTTTCTGGAGTTGACATGCTTCCACCCTGCACCGGAATCCTTATCAGGGAACAGGGCAGCGACAACAGAGTCACTACACGACATTGGTCATCTCTCCCTGCCCATCAGAATTGGGTTGGGAACATGGCTCATGCCAGCAGACCTTCTCTCGCACCACCTTCGAGCAAGTGGCCCCGAATGCCACTGACGTTTCCTCATCTAGCCCCCGTGGAGAGCAAGCCGGGCTGTGTTGAGCCGTGTCTCTTCTTCCTTCTGGAAAGACGGTGTAAAGGAGACGTGTGCTGGCCACGCCAGTGTCTGAGTGACGCTGCAGGTCGTCTCCAACAGGGCCTGGGTGGGGGCACCTCGTGAAAGGGCCTGAGACCCATGGCCTTGCCACGTGACCTTTTTCTTCGAGGGCTGAAGTGTTCCCAAGGCCCCCACCCCCCGTGACCTGTGCGCCGGCCGGTTTCGAGAGGTGCTGCCACCGAGAGGGAGGGGAGCGGGTGGCTCCAGCAAATGTCTTCCCTAAAGCCTTTTAGAATTCTGCTTGCTTGCTCTTGGGGACTGCTAGACCCCGGACTCCTCAGCTAGTCCTGCTGTGGAGCAAGTAAGGGCAGGGAGGAGCAGTGAGGTCACAGAGTGTTTGAGCTAGACAGACCTTGGGGATCAGCAGGGCCACCTGCCTCGGTGTCTGGAGGGAAATGGAGCCCCAGAGAGGCGCAGAAAGTCTGTGACACATGAAACAGCTCTACAGATTTAATCACTACCAAAAAACGATTTCCCTATCACTGAAGGTCAGCTCTGTGAAGCCAGAACTGAGTTCTTGGTCAGCCTCTAACTTTAAGGGTGACCTCAGGCAATTCTGCTCTCTCCCTTAGTCTCAGTTTCCCCATTTGTAATGCCTAAGGTCCTTCCCAAGTATGAGGGATATCACTCTGTTGCCTTTCCTTGGGACAGGGTTCAGGATAGGAATTCACCCTGGGCTAGGTTCCTACACAGAGGGGAGCACCAAGGGGATGTGGGGGTCATCTGGGGCCTGCCCCAGATCAGGAATGTGTCCTTTCATTGCCTCGATTTGTGTGTTTTGATTTTAGGGATCTATGCGCATTTTCCTGGAGGGGGCATCTGTAATTTCACCAGATTCCGATAGACCCAGGATGGGCGCCTGTGAGGGTGGAGCCCTCAAGTGTCCCCACCCAAGAACAAAGACTACATTCTCACACAGAAGACCAGGCTTTGCCCAAATCCTCACGGAATTCTAAGTAACACCGAAGTAGCCTTCCTGTTTTTTCTTGGCGCCTGAATCAGGGTCGGAACTCACCATCCCCAGAGAGCTGGTGCTGGGTGCCCTGAGTTATTATTCCTGGTCGCCTCTCCGGGCCCCCTCTTAGGCAGAAAGGCGTGTGTTAAGGCGGAGAAACACTGCCCCCCAGTGGTCAGTCACAAAATATTCTGCTCTCCACCCTTCCCCGAGCCTTCGGTACGGGGACCTTGCCCTTGGGGGCAGGGCAGGGGTCGGGGAGCGGAATAGAGTAAGGGCAGAGGCCGCCCTCAAAACTCGTCAGTCCCCGGGAACAGGCTTCTCAGGCTTCTTGCCTAGCACTGACGGCCACAGCGAGGCCCGCTTCTGGCTGGTGCTTGGGGCAGATGGAAACCGTGCAGGGGCGGGCGATGGGGGAGGGGTGTTAAAGGAGGCGGAGGGTGGGGGCTGTGTTGCCATGGTGACCTGGCAGCCCTCCGCCAAAGCCTCCGCATCCTCCTGCTTGGGGCAGCTGGGCCTCTGTTGGACTAAATCTGCCACCTCCACGTTTGTTTTCATGTGTCCCCTGTTTCAACTACTATATAGCGGGTGCCAGTTCCGTGCCACGTGCGGCGCTAACGGCGTCATATACATTTTCTCGCGCATGCTCACAGCAACTTTCCAACGAGTTACCGCCTACGAGAGGAGCCAAAGGGTCAGAAAGGTCAAGTGACTATGAGCGACAGGGCAGGACTCTGCCCCAACTACTGACTTGCAAAACCTCAGCAAATTCTCTATCCTCTGCTAAGCCGCCAGGCCACGCATGGGGGTGGGGGGGGGTCCACGCGTTGAGAACTGGGCACACTGAGGCCCAGCAAGGGAAAAGACTTACCCAGGGTCACACAATGGCTGGCCCGTGCCTGCGTTCTTCTTCCTAGTCCCCCCCACCCGTGGTGCCCACTCAGCGTGAGGCAGGCACCAGACATCCCCCGGAAAACATCCCCGGCTCGGTCACCTGCCCTTTCTTTCTGCCTCAGTACCCTGAGCATTCGCGGTGGCCTCCCCCAAACACACACCTGTGCGCGCACACACTTCCGCACACACGCGCGGACGTCAGTGGGAGCCGCGTGCCCACACACCCGGTGTCCCACGCACATGTGCTCACGGGCATGTCCTCATTTGAGGATACATGTGTCCTTGTCTAAGTAGCCGTGTGGGGAGGCAGTGGTGAGCTCTCAGGCAGGACCGCCTGGGTTTAAACCCTCGCTTCACCACCTGCTGGCTGTGGGACCTTGGGCCTATTACTTAGTTTTTAGGGCTTCAGCGTCCTCATTTGAAACCTGGGAATAATACTACATGCGTCCCAGGTAGTGTTAGGGGAGTGAAGTGGCTTCACGTATGTCAAGCCCAACACGTGGTACGTGCTAAATGAAACTGTTAGCACGGACAGGTACTCACGTAATCCCAAGCGCTCACAGACACCTGCACCCGCATGTGCACACACACACACACACACACACGCTATGGTCCCCACGGCCCAGGCCTTACAAAAGGAGCATCTTGCCGCCATTGTCTTCGGGCCAGACCACCGCACACTTGGTGGCGCCCTGGTCCGTGGTGATGGTGGAGTAGAAGCACTGGGGGAAGGCGAGGGCCAGGGCCAGCAGCCAGATGCCTGCAATAACCGCTCTGGTGCCGCGGGCTGAGAGCCGCGGCTGGAAGGGGTGGACGATGGCCACGTACCTGTGAGCAGAGTGCTGTGTGAGTGGCGGGCACCCCTCCCCGCCTCCAGAGCCCCATTTCCCACGCCGTGCTGGGCCCCTGCAGAGAGCCACCTGGGCTGGTGACTCTCCCACAGCCACACAGCACGCCAGTGCCCTAAAACCCCAGGCCAGGCCTCACCTCATCGCCTCCCTGGGGGCGGACTTACTCTCAAACGGCCACCAGAGAGCGGTGTGGCCACACTGGAAGTCCACTCAAAACATTTGCCAAAAGCCGCCGGGCCCCTTGGCCCTATGCTGTCCCTCTTCTGGTCAGAAACCTTAGCGGAACCCGACAGTCTCCCAGACACAGCCCAAACCAGCCCTGCCTGTCGGCTTTCTGCAGGGGTGGAAATGCCCTATGTATAAACTGTCCCGTTCAGTAGCCATAACCACACATGGCCGTGAACACTGGAAGTGTGGCTAATATGACTGAGGAACAGAGTTTTAAGTTTTAACTAATTCAAATGTAAATAGGCACATGGTTAGGTTACCAGACACAGCAGGCCCAAACCTTTAAACTCGGCATTCAAGGCCCTCTGCACATGGCCAACGCACTTACTTTCTCACCTCCTGTGCCACTGCTTCCCGCACCTTCCCTGGCTCATTCTGGTCAAGGAACAGCCCTGCCTGTGTGACCCTCTGTAGGGGGCATTTCTTCCCCCTCAGCCTGAAATTTCTCCTTCCACTCTGGATTCACTAAAGTCCAAGTGAAAGGTCACCTCTTCCAAGAAGTCGGCCAGAAACAGGCTTGTCTTCTCAGCTCCTGCCTCTCTCTCTGGGGAACCTCTGAGGATTTGAGCTGCTGTTTGGCCTGAGTATCTCAGGCAGGGGTTGTTCTCTCCATTTTCTGCACCAGGAGACTGAGGCTTGCAGAAGGGGAAGAACCAGCTGGAAGAGGCAGCACTGGCCCTGAACCAAGTCGTGCAGTTCCCCTCTGCTCCCGGGACCTCTGAAGCCGCTGTGGGAATGTCCTGGAGCCTGGTGGGGCTGAGGCCTCATGGGTCACGGCCCTGACCAAGGAAGGGAGAGCTGGGGTAGCCGCCGGCTTCCAAGGCCAAAGGATCCAAAGAGCACCATGCACCAAAGACACGGGACCCCACACTGCTTCTCTTATGCTGTGCCCTGTGACCGGGGGCTTTGGTTGCCACCTCACAAGAGGGAGGGCGTGGGGTGAGATGGGGGGGGGCCCTCCTCGGAATACAGTTTTTACGTGAATAAATTACACAGGATTACAAAGACAATCAGTTATACTGGAATACAGTTAGCAAAATATAAAATAGATTTGGGGCACAGCAATATGCACGCTTCTTTATCAACCCACTAAACAAGATCTAGCAGCAGGTCTGGAACCGATGATAGATTTGTTTTTAATATTTATTTTTGAGAGCACGAGTAGGGGAGGGGCAGAGAGTGGTGGGGACAGAGGTCCTGAAACCAGCTCTGAGCTGACAGCAGCAAGTCCTTACACAGGACTAGAACTCATGAACTATGAGATCATGACCTGAGCCAAAGTCAGACGCTCGACTGACTGAGCCACCCAGGTGCACCACCCCCACCCCTGCTGTCATGGTAACTATTTTTAAAATTTTTTTAAACATTTATTTATTATTGAGAGACAGAGAGAGACAGAGCATGAGTGGGGGAGGGACAGAGAGAGAGGGAGACACAGAATCCGAAGCAGGCTCCAGGCTCTGAGCTGTCAGCATGGAGCCCGACGCGGGGCTCGAACTCACAAACCGCGAGATCATGACCTGAGTTGAAGTAGGACGCTTAACTGACGGAGCCACCCAGGCGCCCCCGTGGTAATTTTTAAGTAGTGACGACTGCAGTCGATGCTTGGAGATTTCTGCACAACAGAGGTATCTGTGATTTCTATCGGTGACATGGCCCCAGGCACTGCTGGAATCCCAGCAAAATGTGGTTTGTTGCCTCCATTTGGAACAGTGATTTTTCACCCCCACAGAAGCTGATGACCCCTGGGACTTCTGTGACGGTCTGTGGTCACAAGTTACGCACATCTGGATTGGATGATTGTCGACCCCTCCTTCCTCTGTCTGAGACACTGACCTTCCCCCTTTACTGTGGCCGGGCCCTGGGCCAGCTCTACCCCAAGATGGCCTGGATCTGGGCTGAGTGCCTCAGCAGGACGAGAGGAGTGGCATTTCGTCAGGGGCCTCCTCCCCACAGATGAGGCAGGTGACCAGCGGGCCAACTGGGGGGCTGGGGTTCCCTTGCTGTTGTGGCAAGTGGGGTGGGAAAGAGGAGAGCTTTTTCTCTTTCCCTGTTAGTTGAGGGGCAGCTCTGGGGCTTTGATCTAAATGTGGACCCTGACTTCATCACCTTCCAGCCGTAGGGACTCAAACCACCCTCTTCTGTAAAGTGAGCTGACAGTCATTTGAGCCCCTGTGGTTGTCTTGGGAAGGGAATGAGATGCTTGAGAAGCGCTTGCAGGCAGCAGGGGTTTAGGACTTGAAAGGGCCATTATTCCTATGTATTTGTGTCCTTTAAATGCATCAGAGGTGACTTTGGTCCTGGATGACCCCTGGGCCTTCCTCTCTGGGGTTAATCTGAACCTGGAGACAAGGTCTGGACCATAGGATGACCTTGCCCTAAGCAGGGAAGTTGACATCCGCGTGTTCTAGGCACCCGGGGAGTGCTGACTCCGTGCCCCCTGAGCTTTTCTACCCTGTCTCGGTGAGGACGGTCTTTCCTGGGGCCCCTCACGCACACCAGGCACCACCCTGCCACGGGCCTTTGCTGCCGCTGTGCCCTCTCCCTGGATTGATCTTTCCCCAGCGCTCACAGGGCTCTCTCTCTCACCTCCTTCCATCCTGGCTCCAAACCCACCCCACAGTGGGGCCGACCCCACACCCTGTATAGCGCTCCAGCCTGCCCCCACCCCGACACACAGCCCGGCACCTGGGGTCCCCTCGCCTCTCCATGGTATTTTTCCACAGCCCTCATGACCTCAAAATACAACGTACAATTTATTCATGTGTGTATTATTTAAATTCTCACCAGGGCAGCCAGGTTTATCTGTTTTTTGCCCCAATGGCCAGAACAGTATCTGTACGTAGTCGGCCTTGAACATATGAATGAATGAAGAAACGAATGGACGGGGCTTCGTTGTTAACACCCCGGCCTGAGTTACCATCCTCTCTCACCTGGATTATTATTCACCAGCCTCTTGCCTGGTCTCCAGACTCCCCCCCTCCCCCCACCTTGAAATGCAAGTTCCATGAGGCCTGATTTCAAGGACTATTTTTCCTTCTGGTGTATATTCCCCAATGCCTGAAACAGAGGGAGCACTTGAGTATTTGTTGAGTGAAGGAGAAGAACATGTTAGTGGACTTGCAGAGACATCCAGGGGTACTGAGGTGCTTTTGGCGGGGGCAGGGGGTGTGGTCAGATGAGGAGGGACACGCCCCTTCCTGAGAGCTTAGCCGGCTGGGTTCTGGGCCGCTGGCCCTGACCCTGACTTGCTGGCGATCCTGCTTGTCTCTGGCCTCTGTTGGCCTGGGTACAAAAATCAGAAGCGTGGCCTAGACGAATGGTTTTCGAACTCTTCTTTTCATTTTTAATTAGTAGAAATACATTCCTCAAATGACATCTTTAGGGAAACTCCATAGAAAAACAGCCCAGAGCAGACAAGAGCCAGCTGCTGTGTGTCACTGGGCAGACGCCTGGAGATGGAGACTGGGGGGGGGGACATGGGCTATGCCCTTCAAATCCATCCTGACAAGGACGGTTCTGAGGGTCCCAGGCCTGCCCCTCCTGGACATACACCTGCTGTCTTTCTGTGTCCCTTTTTGTTTGCTGTCTGTCCCAACCATTCTTCCCCAGGGTCACACAGTCCCCTTCTGAGGCCAAACTGTGCCCTGCCTGCCCCAACCAGCTTCAGAAGGACTGCGTTTGGCTCCACTGATCACTCCTCCACCCTCCCGGCCTTCAGCAGAAGGCCACAGCCTGCGGCCCCCCGAGAACAGGATTGGGAAAGTAATTGGACCCATTGTAATTGTATGGTAACTGCATGCAATATTAAATCCTCCCCAGTATAATCTATCTAGGAATAGGAAAACAGGAAAAGCCATGTCCGTGTAGTAAAAGAAAGACGCCAAAAGAGATCAACTCCAGAGAAGAATACTCTAGAAGTTCCCTAAACACGGCCCTTCTCTCCCGACAGCCTTGAACAACCATCCAGTGCCAAGTTCTTCCTTGGGTCTAACCTTAACTTTGCCTGCTTTGGTTCCATGTTCTTTTGTCTCCCACATGCATGCTTTTATTTATTTTATTTATTCATTTTTACTAAAAAAAAAAATTTTTTTAAGGTTTATTCATCTTTTAGACCCAGAGAGAGACAGAGTGTGAGCAGGGGAGGGGCAGAGAGAGAGAGACACACACACAGAATCCAAAGCAGGTTCCAGGCTCCGAGCTGTCAGCACAGAGCCCTGACTCGGGGCTCGAACCCATGAACCGCGAGATCGTGACCTGAGCCGAAGTCGGATGCTTAACTGACTGAGCCACCCAGGCGCCCCAGATGCACACTTTAAGATCGTGATTGAGTTGGGAGGCAATTCCCTGAGTTCTACTGCTAACTTGCTGTGTGACTACGGACAAGTCACTGGCCCTGTCTGAGCCCCGACAAAGTGAGACAGCTTCCCCTGGCCTCCCCGCCAGCCCCCTCTTGCCTGTCAGTGGCGATGGCGGTCATGGAGTAGATGCTGACGAACATGGCCGCGATGGGGAAGAGGTTCTGGAAGTGGCAGAAGGCACGGCCGAAGTACCAGATGTTGTGGCTGGCGTAGACGAAATTGAAGGCGGCATTGAAGGCGGCCATGCAGAGGTCAGCCAGGGCCAGGTTGACAATGAAATAATTGGTGACTGTGCGCATCCTCTGGTGGGCCAGGATGATCCAGATGACCGTGGCATTGCCCGTCACGGCCACCAACACCAGGGCCAGGTAGGCGGTGGCCCACAGCGCCAGCTGCCAGCCGGGCATGGAGAAGGCCGTGATGCCCGTGGCGTTGCTCTCAAGGCCGGGCGAGATGTTGGCATCAGTCACAAAATCACAGGCCGCCATGGCGGCCTCTGGGTCTGGGATGAGGGCCCTGACTCCTCGCTCCTCCTGAGCCCTGACGCCCCGCCCAGATATGCTAGAGAAGAAGAGTCCTCTTGGGTGCGTGCGTATGTGGGGGACAGAGGCGTAGGTGCAAAGTCAGGCACGTCAGGGGGGACAGGGGGTCACTCCCAAGCCTCGAGCGGAGATGAGGTTAGGCTGAGCAGAGAGCCGGGTCCACAGCCATTCGCATTTCAGACTCCCATGTCCTGGCCAGACTTCTCACATGTCCCATGCAAATCTAGAATCTAAGACACAGTTTCAGAGCAGGAAACATCCTTGTAAATCATCTGGGTCGGATGAGGTGAGCACAGAGCGGCGGCCTTGGCATTCCGCAGGTCAGCTGCCCAGCAGGCTTTGCTCCAGGCTGTGGGGTGCGGGCTGGGCTGGGGTCCGGGACATGCTCACCATGCTGCCATCTGCCAGCCCCGGAGCCTCTGTCCTCCCTGCCGCTCCCCCAGGCAGGGCGGGCGAGGGCCTTGGCAGAGGTGCGGCTTGCTCATGAGGTGTGACTTTGGCTCCCGCCCCTCGTCCCACCCCCTGCTGGGATGGCCCAGCTTTGTCTCTTGAGAAAAGATTCAGGACCGGCTGCGGTGGGGGGGGAACAGGGAGGGAACCAGGGGCGGCAGGGCTGGGGGCTGGCACGCAGGCGCGGTCCTGGGGCGGGGGGCTTGTTCACACTTAGCCCAGGCCAGGAGCTACACGCCTGGCATGCTGGGCGGGGTTGGGGTCCGCCTGGGTTACTCCAGGCAAGTCTCTTAAGGTCACTGGACTTTGGCTTCCTCATCTGAAAAATATGGGAGAAATAAGGTGACGGCCGGTGGCGTGTTTGTGAGTTTTAAATGAGATGATGCACAGACGGTTCCCAGGGCACAGGGGCTGGCACGTCAAAAGCGCGGCAGGGAGTTGTAGCCCCGCAGGAGGCCCCAGAGGCAGGACTCGGAGCACTTCTGACAGGTTCTCAGGTGATGCTGCTGCTGCTGGTCCAGAGACCCCACTCCCTAAGGACGAGGATGGGGCTCACCGTCCCTTCTGTGAACCCCAGAGAGGCCCCCGTGGTGAGCGCTGGGGGGCTGCTCTGGGTCTGTCCAAGGAACCCGCTCTTGGTCATCCACCATGCGTATGCGTGTCGCGCACTGTGTGAAGCCGGGATGCCGTTTCCGAGCGACCGTGTGTGGGGCTGATGTGTGTAAGTGCACCCACACTGGTGCATCTGTGGGCACCTGTAGGTGTGTGGCCCCTGAAGGTGGGCTAGGCTCAGCAGGGCAGGGCGCGTCCCACATTAAAGCAGAGGAGGGCTCTCGATCGCCAGCCGTGGTGGCCCTGCTGTGTGTGTGTGCGTGTGTGTGCATGTATGTGCGTGTGTGTATGGTCTCCAGACTATCCAGCCTTGCACTTGGGGACACTCCCAGCCTCCGCTCCAGACCCAAGTGGCTCCAGCCATAGCCAGGCCATGGGGCAGAGGTCTGTTCCCTCTCTGGAGCGGGCCACCACCTCTGGACGTCTGTCCCTTGCTGACGGGCCTCTGCCTTTGATCCCTCTTAGCAGCAGTAGCAGCAGAATTCACTCAACTTTGGGGCTTAAATTTTTTTTGAATTTTAGGGAGAGAGAGAGAGAGACAGAGAGAGAGAGACAGAGAGAGAGACAGACAGAGAGAGAGAAAACACTCATGAGCCGGGGAGAGGGACAGAGGGAGGGAGCTTTGCAATGTGTGCTTGCTGCTCAGAGCGGCCTGACCAGCCCATCGCCAGACAAAGGTCTGGAAGGCTAGGCTTTGTTAAAAGAGGAAGAGAGACCCAAGGTTCTTTGGCTCCTGTGGACACAGGGAGACTCCAGTTTGCTCACGGACGTTTGTGTGCGGGAAGTTCTCTCCACCCAGAAGTGGAGGGGGAAAGGCTGCCCACTGGTTCTGGCCGATGGGCTGAGCTGATGGCACAGGTCGGGGACCCTGGTGAGCGACTCCACTTCTGACTTTAGAGGGCAGGGTGTTTATCAAGAAGCTCTTTGGGATCGATGCCTGGGGGACGGAGGGGAGGGGAGCAGGAGCGGGAGGAGGAGGAGGTTGAGCTGAGATGTATTAGATGACAGCCTAGGACAGCCCCGAAGGGCAGGTCGCTCTGAACTGGAGTGGCCCTTTGGCATTGCCTTGTGTTGGGCAGAGGTGGCCATCCATCCATGGCTGCCTGTGGGCTGCCCCAAGAAGGGGCGTGACCTTGGACAAGGCAGCTCTCTGCAGCTGAGACAACGGCCGAAGTGGGTGACGGCTGATGAGAGCCTGCCAGGGGCTTGAAGGGGGTCTGGGAAGCACCGTGGCAGAACAGCAGCCTCTCCCGTGACATGGGGGTGGGGGGTGGGCTCACGGGTGCTCCTCAGGATTTGTTCTACCTGGCCCCAGGCTGGAGGCTTGAAGGCTAGAGGTGGGAAAGGAAATGCTTTCTAGACGATCTGGAGGAGAAGGAGGTGGGACAGCTTCGGGGGTGAGGGAAGTGGGTGGGAGAGAAAAGGGGGTTTCAGGAAGCGATGTGGGTTGGACACAGCTTCGACAGTGTTTGAGAGACGCCGTTAGACGTCTTCTGACCACAGGTCTGGAAACTGTGCTGGGCTTCGGCCATTTGGTCATGGCTTCAGCAGGTCACACGCAGCATCCCGGGACATTAGTGCCATGGGTCATCTAGGCAGTTCGCCTGGACAGGACAGGGTGAGGCAGCGATGACAACACGGTGAGCTTTTTATTCAACCAAGTGAATCTGGTGTGCAAGCCCAGCCTTCATTCCGAGACTAACCGTTCCTCTCTGGGGGCTAACGTGTCTTTTCTTTTATGAAATAACGTGACGGCAGGTGGCCGTTGTGAGGCTGGCTTCCCTTTTTCTCTAAAATTCCTTACTCGGTGGGATAAAATGTTGGTGACCTCTATGGTTCCATCAGTCAGGTTTTTGATATTCTTCTTGGTCCATGAAACTCAAAGAGGATCCCCGATCTAGTTCCTCATTGGGCGACGAGGCTGGGAGCCCCAAGAGGGGAAGACTTGCCCCAGGCCCCATTGCCCGTGAGGTGGGTCCCCATCCCTGATTGCCTCGGTCTGGCACAGCCTTTACTGACCCGCCTGCCTCCTTTCTCTCAAGGCCTATCGCAGCCACCTCCCTGGTCACCTCCCCGTCACATGGGTGGCAAGGTCCTCACGGCCTGGATTGTGCCTGATGCCAGTGTCTAGGAGAGTGGCCAGCACGTCACAGAGACCCTATGAATGTTAGTCGGATGAAAACGATGGGTAAGATTTAAAACATGACTCAGGAGTGAGGGATGAGGAATCATATCATCTATCTATTGATATCTAGCACATACAGACAGGTATGAAAGCCTGAAACCAACGGGACGAAGGCCAATGTGGGATTGGAGGCAGCCTTGAGTGGAGGGGGCCGTATAACGCCTGGCAGTCAGTACCGAGTGGATGCTCCACAAATGTCGGGGGGATTGATGAATGACTAATCCTGAAAAGAAGTTTAAAATAGCACCGTGTCAGGCGGGAAGGGAGTAATGTTCTTATTTTCACAGGATCTAAATTTTAAACGAAAACGACGTGTCCTCGTAGGTGAGGCAGGACTTTTGGAGGACATTGGGGTCTTCAAAGGCTTCAACGATGTATTCCTCACAGAGAGCTGCCCTTTGTCCATGAGCCGGAGGGTCCGCTAAAGCCACCTCGCTTTAGGAGATGAGCTCTGCCGCCCTGGCCGCTGCATCAGTGGCCCAGAATCTGGGAGGGGGAGAGCTGGCCTCCGCCACGAGCCAGGGCTGGAGCTGACACTTTTTTTAAACACCGTGAGTGTGCTGGGGTAGTGCCTCGTCCTGAAAGCCCGAAGTTTATGTAGCGGGGGGAAGAGAGGCCGCCAGTGTTTACATCTGCTGTGCTCCTGGTATTCGCGGAGCTCAGAGGCTCCTAACACAGGATGGGGTCATTCGTCAAGAGCAGGCTCTAGCAAAATCTGCCCATCTATGGCGGGTGGAGTAGGAGGTAGGTAGGCAAGGCTTGTCCTGGGAGGGGACACCACGACACCCACTTGCTGGTTGGGTAACAGGGTCCCCCCAGAGGCGGCCTGGGTATTACAGACAGAGGGGACTTGGTGTCCACACAGGGTGTCGGCAAATGTGGCAGCCAAGTGCTCTAGCGTGGATGTGGCGAGGAAAGGCTGACAAAGGAAGGGCGCCTCCGCGGAAGGGTCCAAGCCCTGGGCCCGTGGGTCGCTCGACGGGGCAGGGGCTCCAACGATCAGCCCAGAGTTGGGAGAAAAGGTCCTGTCTCTACCTTCACGGAGCTCCTGGCCCAGTTGGGGAGCCAAGTGCCAGCATAGCCAGAGAACTCACCATACCCGTCCGGTAAATGGGTGACACCATGAGCTTCAAGCTTCCGAGGAGGGAGGGAGATGCCTTTGGGGGACAGGAAGTGACGCGGTGCCTCACCTGAGTGGCCCTTGGAAGTAATGGAGGAGGGGACACGGAACGAACCCCGATCCGGACAGAAAGGCCAGACCAGCCTGGCTGGACGTAAGGAACAGGAGATACAGCAAACGTAAATGTCAGTTCCCACACCCAGGGGTGCCAGAAATGTCCATTTCCTTATTCTCTCATTCTCTAAAACTTCTCTAAAAACCACCTTAATCTTTATTCTGAGTCCCCACCTTGTTGAGCTGGCAGGGATATCCAACCTTATTTCTTCTGGGTCCCCACTGTCCCGCCCCAGGCTGTCTATAGTACCAAAGGCATCTGGGGTGGGGCCCTTATTGTCATTAATGCATACACTGTTTCTGCAGGGTCCTTGAGGTCCGGGGGCTGTTACTTCTTTTTATTTTTATTTTTATTTTTATTTTTGAGAGGGCGTGAGCAGGGTTTGGGGCAGAGAGAGGGAGACAGAGGATCCAAAGTGGCTCTGTGCTGACAGCAGCTAGCCCGACGCGGAGCTCAGACTCACG